AAAAAGAAACGGAGATATTAACAAACTGGAATCCCTTAAAATCATGCAGAGTGCCATTGAACGGTATTTTAAAGAGCAAAAAACTATCCACTGGGCATCGTGCAGTCGAGGGAGTTTCATAACTCAAAATAAATCCATCGCAGAATTACACTAGCTGCACCTTCAAATTCCTTCTCCAAAGACAGCTAGAAGTCTCAGCCTCATCTCATCCACAGAAGAAAAGGAAGGTCTTCCATCATTGATTCAGGCCACGAGAATTGAACTTTGATACATGAAGTAGACTGTTTTCGTTCTGACTTCAGAACTGCTTTTTTCTTTGTTATACTCCAATGAGTTTTCGTAACATGACAACGTTTTGCATACTAAATGATGTCAAGACGTTTCCGGTTCCGCTATTTTAACAAACCAGCTACTGAATCTAAAATTTAAGGCGATAAAACAGTTGTGCGATTTCAAAATGGATTTAATTAAGTGGCAATTGAACTTCGTGTCATGCAATTTTGGCCTGAAATCATACCTGTGATTTCAAATCGAACTCGCGCTACGCAGATTTCGATTTTGAAATCACGCGTACGATTTCAGACCAAATTGCACTCCACTCAGTTCAATTACCGTTATTTATTGTACCATTGACTGATCATCGCCAGTAGATTGTACAGCATATTTTTCTTTAAATCTGGGATATTGCTGCAACAGCCGATAGCACTTCTGGAAGGCGTTTCTGCGCACTTTTCGAATGTGTATTGCACCATACTGAAGGAAATGAGAGGACGTGAGATATTCAACCTTCCTGGGTAGATGTCACGATAGCCGCTCGACCCATTCTCCTCAAACTCGGTCGTGAAATAAAATGGCGGTGTTTTGGAGCTAATTTCGAGATTTCGTCGGGGTACAGAAAATCGAGGATTTAACCGAATCCAAAACTTTTTTCGCAGATGTATTACAAATAACAAGTAGATTCGTTTTAGCGAAAAAAAAAATTGGGGTTAGGTGCACTTTAACAAATCGAATGTGGTTTAGCGTTTTCTGTATTCTTATCGATATGCGTCATCATAGTGGTCAAAATGTTGTGGACTCAAGAAGTTCAGCCGAGTGAGTCCACAAAAAGGGTGTTTGTTATTTTAAGAGATGCGCAGTCTTTTCTCGAGACATACGTATGTCTATAGCATCATGCTCGAATATTATTTCTCCGACATTGTTGCTTATAATAGAAACTCCTTTGTGAAGTAAACGCATCGCTAAGCAGTGCAGAATTTAGGTAATATAGAAGATTTCAAACAGGAAACTGCTGAACTAGATGCTCTTCACAAAGAGCGAATACTCGGTATATTTGGTCATGGCGTGACCTATTTATATCGCTGAAAGAAAGGGTTTCTCAACAATTAGAAGCTCTTCATGCGGTTTCCATTTATTACAAAAATAACGACATTTATCACATTGAGATAGGATAGGAGAAACGTTTTCCGAAAGAGTTTCTGTATTGCGTTACAGATTACATCAGTTCCCAGATCAGTTTCAAGTCCAAGCGGTTGACCAATAAGCGAGCGAGATTTCAGCCAGCTAATGAAACTCGCGCTATCTAAATGTTTCGCTCGATTTCTCTGGCCATGTTACATGTGCTGCGAGTAGATTCCCAAATTTTTGTCTCATTTATAGCTTGGTATCGGAGCATGCACAAAAATAAATAAACGACAAGGTTATCAAGTTTCTTTTAATGACAAGTAACCATCCTCAGTTTAATAAGGGTGTTATAACCAATACAAGACAAATCGTTAGATTCACAAAACATGATGATTTCCGATTACTAAGCTATATGTATAACAGACAACAGCTTATAGCTCGCCGCTTTGAAAAATGTTTATCATCCGTATAATGTTGTCATGAAACATCTGTAGAACAAAAGTAATAACAAAAAGGTAACATATAAAGCAATTAATTAATGGTGTTGTTTCTCGCTTGATAACAGCCTTAGAAGATTCACTCTGCTATTCACCACGATCTTCATACGTTGCTGTTGTCGCGATCGATTTCGGGACAACCTACAGTGGTTTTGCTTTCTCATTTATTAAAGATCATGGCAAAGATTCGATCTTTATGAACAGAGACTGGGCGAATGAACAAGGGGGGCGGACCAGCAAAACACCAACTTGTCTGCTACTGAATTCTGACCTGTCATTCGACTCGTTTGGATACAAAGCGGTTGAAAAGTATGCAGGTCTTCAAGATGAGTGCCATGAGGGGGAATACCTGTTTTTTCAGCATTTCAAAATGGATCTTCACAATGACAAGGTAAAATAGGATAATATCGCTCCTCTACTCAACCTCGATTGTGGCCAAGATAAACTTACCTGTAGGGTAACTTACATTGAAAAAATGGTCCCCTGCAAATTGTCCTCGTTTTTGCCGTTAGAGCGAATAGGCAACAATCAAGGTGTTGTTTTTACTCAAAGATAAGAAATGCTTGCCCTTAGGGCAACGTTAGCATAACCCGGTGTTTTTTTTAGCAATTAACACTGCCATTTGTCGACTATATTGAAAAACTTTAAATTTAATTGATTATTAATCAATGTCCTAATGTTTGGTATCCCCATTTGATTGGACAGTTCCTGGGGTTCTCACGTGAGACATCGTGCGAAGTAAATCACTGCGCAAAGTTCAAAGCTCAGACTAGAGCTGTTGATAACGGAAAATTTATTCCCGGTAATCAATGAATTTTGATCACAGACATCAAAATAGACCGATGGGATGGTCCATGGCTTAGACAGAACAGAATTTTACAGCTAATCTTTGTTTAATAGACCAACCACTGAACCACGTGTATACTATTACGATAAGAATGCCTGCTCCCCTCTTCTGTCGACTTTAATTATTCGGCGGTTCAAATTTAAACTTTGTTATTACATAGAAACTCAGTCAACAGTGAGAGTCTGAGAGAACATATAAAATATTTAAGGTACTGAAATTGACCACCGTGCCTACAAAATATACTATATCTTTTCATTGAATATTACTTTTGGCAGACCATCAACACAGAAACAACTATCAAAGCTGCCAACGGGCGCCTTGTCAAAGCCAAGACAGTATTTGCCCATTCAATTAGGTTTTTAAA